TTTTTTTGAACTATATGATAATATATATAAATTATATATTATCATGAATCGTTATTATTAAACTAGACAAAACATTTCCATTGTTGTTTATAATAAATGTAAACTATTTTAAACTTTTCTCATTAATTTATTGTTGGGTACTTTGAAGAACATTTTCTATCTCTTTTTTTCATGATATTTACGCTATTCTAACATCACTTTTATATTTAATAAAGCGTCTTTTTTCAATATGGAAATCATTTTCAAAATTTTTATAGAATAGAATGCCACCATCAACTACAAATTCAAGCATTAATGCAACAGAATTAAGTAGACCTGATATAGCTATTAGTTATGTAGGTCGTTTTTGGCTTTTTCTTATATCAACTCCTTTATCGATTGTGTGTTCATTGTTTGTTCTTTTTCATCTTCTATCTGATCGAACTCTTCGTCATGTATTACACAATCATGTAATAATAGTTCTCTTATTCATGTGTCTTATATGGGCAATGACTGTTGCTCCTGCTACGATGCATGTTTATTTATTCAATATAGTTTGGTCACAAACTCCAATATTTTGTATCATTTGGAAGTTTCTTGATTCTTGTATTTATTCATCAATAGCTAAATTGGTAGCATGGGCTTCAATTGAACGACATATTATTATATTTCATAACAAATGGGTATCAACAAAAAAGAAACGTCTCTTTTCCCATTATATTCCATTATTACTAATTGTTATGTATGATGTAATTTGTTATGCAATAATAACTCCAATAAATGATTGTAATAGAAAATTCTCTTATTCAATACCATTTTGTGGTTATTCTAGTTGTGTGTATAATAGTGTCTCATTTATTCATTTTGAGTCTGTTACTGGTGGTTTTTTACCATCATTGTTTATTGGATTTGGTAGCTTTTTGCTTGTCTTACGTACTATTTGTCAGAAACGTCGTTTTCATCAACAAGTTCAATGGAAAAAACATCGTAAAATGACAATTCAACTATTAGCTATTACATCTCTTTTTTATATTCTATATTTACCCCCAATTATTTTATCAACTGCTAAGCTATTTGGAGTTCCATCTTATATGGGATCGGATTACAATCTTTATGCACAATTCTTTAGAAATTATATTATATTTTTATTGCCATTTACATGCCTTGGTACATTATCTAAAGTTCGAAGTCGAATAAAAAAAATGTTTCAATGTTGTTATCGACGACAAAGACGTGCTATTATTCCTCAAGGCATATATATGAAAACTACAAAGAATAATGACACATTCCAACTGAAAAATGATATTCATAAGACATAATTGTATTGTTCGTATTTGTCATAAAAATATATTCATTGTTGTATTCAATTAGTCAAATAGATTGCATTTAGATATTACCCTAAGTAAAGAAAAAATAACTTGCAATTAAATGATCGAATTAAGACAAATCTTGAGGATGGTTGTCGATATTACACATTTGCATAGTATCCAAATCCAAACCCACCCACACCCACCCTCAAGATGGTGCTAGGTGAATATAGTATTCATACCCATATTCACCCTCAGAAAAAAATAGATATATGATAATTAATATATTTATTAAATGAATAGTTAGATGTTTCCGTCAGATTCTGTCTGTGAATTGCGTGGTTGGATATTGTTGTCAGGGTCAATTCGGTTATTTATGCAGCAACACCAATAGTTCCATCGTTGCCAGCATCTTTTTACCAGAACAAGTTTTACTTGACGGCGAAAACGTGGTGAGAATATTATAAAAATATAAAAGTTAACCTAAAATAAATCAAAATCTTACAACTATGAATTAACAAAGAAAATTTATTTACGACAAAATTTGTAATGTAGATAGAAGTAATAATTGCTTGAATCAATCGACTAATTGCATATGCCATAGGCATAATTCGCGATGTAGGAAAATTAACGGTATAGATGCGATAAGTAACATAAGGCAATACCAAACAAACAAAGATTATTACACGCATAAGAACCATTGCTGTTATTTGTTTGTCTAACTTACGACGAACTATTGGTAATTGTCGTCGAACTATATGACGAACATTATGATAAGCTAAGATACTAAATGATGATGCAATGACAATAGGTAGAAAACCAACTAGAATTGGATAAAAGAAAAATGCTGAATACTGAACTGCTACATAAATCGATGGAACACATCCCAGTGTTGGTTGAATATCATAAGAAGAGCCAGCTACAATGCCGTGAATGATCGCAAAACAAATGAATATAAATGCAAAATATCGACCTAGTTTCAATGTGCACATTTGTCTTAAATTGAAACGATGATTTGTTGAAAAGAATTGATCAACAG